CTGGTCGACGTGAGGTCGGTGAAGTGGTGCTCGAGCGCTGTCCATGCTTCGGTGTCTTGGGCTGTTTGCGTTTATGTGATGTCGTTCGGTTGTCCTTTCGAATGGGCTGGCGTGGGCGGTCGGTGGAGGTCTGGTCTGCGTTGACGTGAGGAAGTAATAATTTCGTCGTCCCAGCGCTTGTTTTGGCCACCGTGCTGCCTGTCCCGCTGGCGCGGTTTGAAAACCGGGTGCCAACGCAGCACTCGCCATGTCCACCTCGTCCGGTCGTGGTTTGCGACTCGCGAAGCCATGCGCCATACGATCCGTTTGCGCAGCGTCTCCCAGTTGTCAATGTGGTGGCGCTTCATGAAATGCTCTGCGCGTCGCGTCGCTCGCTGGATGTCGTCGACCCATGGTTTCATTTCGTCTGCGGTGGTGCTGTCGTCGCCGTCTTCCTTGTGCTTGTCAGGCGTGCCAGGTGCATCACACGATGATGGGTTGCTGTCTGCGTCGCGCTAATGCTGTCGGCGCGGTCTTCGTTGTCTCGTGTTTCGTTGTTCGCGCCGTCGAAATTAGGCCCCTGGCCGGCGTGAGGGCCGGTTTCTTTCGTTGCGCGTCTCCGTGGCTGTCTGATGATCATGCGAAGCATGTGTCGTTGTGTCCGTCGTAGATGCTGCCGTAAAGGCTCCGTGAGGGTTCACGTCTCTGCTCCGTATAACGTTGTTGGTGCTAAAGACCTGTTGAAAAGTCGGAGTCGGTGAGCCAGTGGAAAGTGCTTGCTGGTCCGCTCCTGCTTGCGAGACGCGAGTGATGTCAACGCAGCTCGCGTGCGATGGTGGATTTCCGTTTCCATCGGTTCGTGGAAGCTGATAAATTCGCCGAGGTCTTTGATACTGGCCTCGTATGGAACGATTATATACCCATGTCTTGGACACGTGCTGTGCGTGAGCTCGCCCTTCCGGTCCTTCTCGTCTGGTTGTTCCGTTTTTTGGTTTTGCTCGGGTGTAGTTCGGGCCCGCGTAGCCTCGTCGCGCGCACAATGTCGTCAAGCATCGATGTCAGGCGCGGGAGAGTTCGGCTGACCAGAACCACGTCGTCGGCGAAGCGTAGGTTGGTCAGCGTGGCGATGCTCGCGAATCCCAATTCAACTCCTTTCCTGTTTTGCTGACATTCGGAGGCCAGCGGTCCAAGGATGCATTGTAGAAGAGCGTTGAAAAGTAGGGAACTGAGTGGGTATCCCTGCTTCGTGCCCCGCAGGAGGCTAAAGGGTCTGCTGCTGACGTCTGTCCTCACCGTGGCTGTCCGCCCCTCATAGCGCCGTTGCTGTTGGAGTAGTGCCAACGCATCCAGGTTGGACCCCTTGTGCCTTCAGTTCTGCCCATATGCTCATGTGTTCAAATGAATCGAAAGTTTTTGTTTGAAGTCAAGTGCTGCGACCCACAGGTTGTGGCCGCACTCGTTTGCTCGCTCGCGCAAAAAATGGAAGGTAAAGAGGTGGTCAGTGGTGGAGTGGCCTGGTCTGGGGCACGCGTGGTCGGCTGTTTGGTGCGAGTCAAGCGTCGGTTGCAGCCTGTTGTACTATAGTCGGCTGAAGAGATTGCGCAACAATGGCGTCGTGCAAATGGGGCGGTCGTTTTTTTGGAAGCGCGAGATCTACACTTTGTGGTATGACTGTAATGACTGTGCTCTTCCAGCTGGTCAGCGGCGGGGCTTCGCGCAGCAAGATCGTGTTGTAGATGTGGAGAAGTGCACCTCTGAGTTCCTCTGTGCCGTCTTTAAGCATCTCTGCGCGGAAGCCTCTCGTGTCTGGGGCTTTACCGAGCCGGAGACCTTTGATCGCCATGTTTAGCTCTTTCGGCAAAAAATAGGAGTCAGTGGGTCTGCTGGTCGCTGGCCGGTCGTAGGTCTGCCAGTCTGTTGGCTTGCGGGCGGGGGTCGGTCTGCTGGTCTGCTGGTCGGTCGGTCGGTCGGTCTGGCGCGCAGTTTGCTGCTTCGCCGGTCTGCTGGTCGGTCTGCTAGTCGGTGGTCGGTGGGGTCGTCGTTTGGTCGTTGTGGGGGTCGGTGGGTCTGCTGGTCGGTCGGTGGTAGTCGGTCTGCTGGTCTGCTACTCGGCGGTCGGTGGTCGGCTTGCTGATCTACTGGTTGGTCGGCCGGTGTGGCGTTCGGCCTGTCGGTGTGCTGGTCTGCAGGTCGGTCTGCTGGCCAGTGGTCGGTGGGGTCGTCGTTCTGTCGTTGTGGGAGTCGGTTGGTCTGCTGGTCGGTCGGTATTAGTCGGTCTGCTGGTCTGCTAGTCGGCGGTCGGTCTGCTGGTCTGCTGGTTGGTCGGCCGGTGCGGCGTTCGGCCTGTTGGTTTGCCGGTCTGGGTGGTCGGTGGGGTCGTCGTTTGGTCGTTGTGGGAGTCGGTGGGTCTGCTTGTCGCTCGGTGGTAGTCGGTCTGCTGGTCTGTTAATCGGCGGTCGGTGGTCGGTCTGCTGGGCTACTGGTTGGTCGGTTGGTGCGGCATTCGGCCTGTTAGGTTGCGGGCCTGCTGGTCGGTTTGCTGGTTTGTCTGCTGGTCGGCGGTCGGTGCTGTCGTCGTTTGGTCGTTCAGGCTGCGTCGCCGTTGCTGTCGATTTGTGCAATTGCTCGTAGAACTCCGCGATAACGTTCGCGATTTCTTGTCGCGTCGTGCATGTGTTGCGCTCTTTGTCTGTCATGTGGGTAATGAGAATTCGTTTTCTTCGTTTTCTGATGCGCGGGATGCTGCTTAAATCTCTGTGCTGTTCAAGTACGTTCGCTATATGGGTCTGTCGTATCGTCCTCTTCTGTGCACGGATACGTTGCTGTATACGTTGATTCAACTGCTTGCGGGCGTGGTGGTCGTTGCTTCGCGTCTGCTGCCGCTCAGTGACTAGGTTGCGTAGTCGTGCTGGTCCCATGTCGGGTTGTTGCTTTGCTTGCGCACCAGCCTGGGCTGCACCGTCTCTGTCGCACCAAAATGAGCTTCTTGCGGCACTGCTGGCGGCAACGGCGTCGACGATAACTCGCTGGATGAGTTCGCACAGTTCACTCGGGTCGGAAGGCAAACTGTGCGGGCGTAAATGGGGCCTTTTTGGTGGTCATGGTAAACTTGCGTGTTGGTGATATTGCCAGTCGTTCGTCGTCGTTGCTGTCGCCGTTGCTGTCGTCGTTCGTCGTCACATCGTGGTCGTCCGCTTATCATTGCGGTCGGTATCCGCAAATCGACGGTCACAGCCTTGTGGTCGGGGCCGAAATCGGTCCTGTGGCTGGCCTCTGCGTTGGCGCAATGCCGGAACATCGCGCGTTTCAGTGGTACGTTGTCGAGCTGCTTGTGATTGTCGCCACTGCTATCAGTGATTTGTTTTTCCACTGGCTCGAGGGGGAAAACAAGTATTTGCAATAACAAGTCCCTCCTGGGCGGCCCAATGACGTAGCCAAATACCCCTCGAGCTTTGCTCCCCGAATCCATGGCGGCCAACATGTCTGGAAGTGGTGCTGTCGAAAATTTCGGCGTCGTCATCTGCGTCCTCGGAGGTCATGGAAGCCCCCACCTGTGCGGCACGCGCTAGAATCCCCTGCGAGTAACAAGTGATGTTGTGTCTTGGTGCTCTACCTGTGAAGCTCGTGGATCATGTCGTACATGCGCTGCACGTGTGGGTCACTGTATCCCGAATGAGGAAAACATGCAGCCACAAGTTGTAGTTTCAGTCTCCCTTTCTCTCTTCAGCGATACCGCAGCGAGTCTGGGCGACAGCTCTTGGAACCTCTGGATGTTTTTTAACACAACGTCGATGTATGATCAGCGCATCTCCATGTCATGCTTGGTCATTGCCGGACCCGGCGAAGGCGTGCCCTTCCGAGGTTGTCCAGAACTCTTCGGCCGTTGTTCTCCACCCTTACTCGAGGCAGGCCTTTCGGAGAAATCGCAGAAATCATCTCCAAATGGCTCTGAGCCGAGCTGGCAACCATGAACAGGCGGCTTCTGCAGCCGAGCCGCCCAAACTGGAGCCCCAACCAAACCGGCCGGACCAACCGCTTCGAAGCGAATCGGCGTGCCGAAATTGGACCGACAGGGCCCAACCGAACTGGCGCCCAGGGCCCTCCGCAGGCCCCCTTCAGGGCTCCCCCAGGCCCATGATGATGATCATGGGGACCTTGAGGGCGTGGCATTCGGCACCAGGGCTGCCCTCAATCATACGCCGAGGCTTCGATCAAGCAGGACGACGCACAACGCAGTGTACAAACACTCCGCTCACTTCTCGGCTCCCGGCGCCTCTCAGCGTGCTGGCGGCAGGTGCACGGAGGCCGCCCCCCGACCAGCGGCGCTCGTCTGCGGCAGGTTCCGTGTCGTGACGACCCTGGCGCCGGTCTCTGAAATCGCGTGGATCTTGAAGCCTTGAATTGAGCAGGGACCGACCGTCTCGGCATTCCTATAGGTATACCACGAAATGTTCTCAGAACAGCAAAAATGCGACCCCAAGAGGTTCTCAGATCACTCTCTGGCGGGCCTATGGGTGAGCCAGGACGCTTCGCCACTGCCTGAGTGAAGCCTTGAACGATCGGCGGCTTTCAGATCGGCCAGACCGGCCCACAGCGGCGGGCTCTGGGCCGCGGGCGGCGCGCAGCGCTGAGCGCCTGCAGCAGGGTCGCCGCCGCCGCGTCGTCACGACAGGCACCTGCCGCCTCTGTTGCAAGGGAGGCCGACGCAACACCCATCCAGCGGCACCATGCCCGTCGGATGAGCCAGGCGTGCCAAGGCTCGGGGATGGAAAGACCTCCCTTTAGCAAAACGTGGTTTAGTGAAATCGACCTGAGGCCCAAACCTGGCGGGCGCGAGCCTGGAAAATGACGGCCGCGGCGCCCTCTCGAGAACCGAAAACGGACAATTCACTAATCGACGTGTCACTGTTGGGGGTTCTGTCCAGCCCCGAACTATGCCCGTCGGATGAGCCAGGCGTGCCAAGGCGCCGAGGAATCCAGCGGCGACGCACGCCGCCCGCCCTCGGCAGCCTCTCCACAGGCTAGAGCGGACGTGCCGGCACGGCGATGTCGACCATGAGGTTCCTCACGACGATGGCGCCTGCTCTGTCACGTCCGCCGTCGCCGTCGGCAGTGCCAGACGAGTCTGCGTCCGATGCCCGGGCGCTCGCTCGGAGCGCGGTGCTTCCGAGGTGTGCGGCGGTGGCGGCGACGTCTCGGAAGAAGGCGTTGCGGAGCGGCGTGGTGGGCAGCGTGGGGAACATCGGGCCCCACGCCGCTGCGTACCGCTCGTACGCTCCCGCCGCGTCCGCGTACGTCGTCTCCACCACGCGCTCCCGCAGCACGCCACCTCGACTGCCACCACTGCCTCTGTCGCTGTTCCCACCACCCCCCACATCGAAGCCCGCGTCGTGCAGTAAGGCCCGCCACTGGGCGGCGGGAAGCATGGTGATGGGCACCCAGTCCGACGCGCCGTTCGGGAAGCACTGCTGCCAGGGGGGCGACGACGACGACGACGGCACCGATGCGGGGGCCTCCTCGCCGACGGGCCCGCCGTTCTCGATCGTCAGGCTCACCGCATCGAAGAGCAGCTGCATGGACCGCGGCCCCGCGTGGTGCGAGGCCACGAACCAGGCGCGCTCCTCCAGGGGAACGGAGAATGGCATAAGCACAACAACTCAGAGGTCCGCGCGGATTTCTCGGATCCGCGCTGGACCCCCCTCCCTGGCGCGCGGAACGCGCCAAGGGCGGCGCCGCAGGCGCCGCCAGGAAGGCTCAGCGCGGACCCGAGAAATCCGCGCGGACCTCCGGGTTGTCACGCTCGTGTCGTTATTCGTTCCCCTCTCCTCGCTCGCGCGCTGCGGGTGCGGGGACGCCATCGCGAGGCGAATCCCTCGCAGCACCTCGGGCAGCTGCGCCTGAATGAGGAGGAAGAAGAGGAGGAGGAGGAGGAGGAAGAGGAGCAGGAGGAGGAGGGAAAAAACGAACAGGAGGGGAGGGGCGCCTCTGGCACCCAGTGCAGCGCCATGAAGCTCGTGACGAGGTCGTGCCTGCCGCTGCCGGCGGCCCGCCCCCACTCGCGCACGTCGGCGGCAACGAACTCCACGCTGGCGCCGCCCGCTTCGGCGGGCGGCGCGCATGGCGGCATCGGCGGCGGCATCCGCGCGCAGGAGATCATGTCGCCGCTCGGGTCGAGGCCCGTCATGCGGCCAGACGGCCGCATCAGCTCCGCCATCCTCCGCGCAGGGCTGGACCTAAACCTTGTGTTCCGCTTTGTCTTCGTTTTGATGTGCGTTTTGCTCTACCTGCTTCCCTCCACCTCCCTGCCAAAAGGAAAAACGAAGCACGGCCGAAGTCCAGCCAAGCAGCGCTTAGGTCCAGCCCTGCCTCCGCGTGTGGCCGCCATCGCCGCAGCCCACGTCGAGGACGCGCCCCGCGCGCTGCAGCCGCTGCGCCAGGGTGGGCTGCCCCGGAGCGAGGGAGATCGGGGAGGCGCAGGGCTCGGGGCTCAAGGCGGGGCTTGTTCATAACCGGCGCCTGCGGGACGCAGAAGGACACACTGGTACATATGTGCTCGTGCCGGAGACGCACGTCTGACCCGAAGATGCAGCACAACATCTGGTACTATATCGCTTCCCGAGCTGCACGGCCAGAAAGCGCCCGCTTCGGAGCTTCTACTATCAGATGTCCGAGGGTGCGCGTCGCCCTTGCGTGGCCGACGCACACAGAGTGAGCGTGTTCTTCTTCGGCGTTTCGACATTGAGTAGAACGGGGGGAGGGGGCGGGGGATCTGGCTCTGGACCTGTGCTTAATGCGACTGTTTGTAACAATGCGTCACACGGGGGTGACCCCAAACAGGCGCCGAAAACAGCCAAGATCTACTCCATAGGGGGGGGTGCGAGGGCCCGCGCCGATCAGCAAAACAATGAATAAGAAAACGATCACCGTACCCAAAGGCCAGAAGAAGCAGGTAGAAACATGAAGTAGGAAGGTGTTGAAAGTATGTTGCGTGTCCACGCGCCCCCTAAAGAGGATGAAACCACGGGACCATTGAAGTAGGAAGGCGCTTAAAGTAGATTGGAATCTGGAAGCCAAAAATACCGACTTCCTGCCAACGACCGATGGGTATAGGCATGTCTGGGTGGTGCCGAGCCTGGGGGATCAAGCTTCGGGGGCCTCGCCAGGCGGTGCACATGGATGCTTCGGGCCCAGAAGGGGGGGGGGCAAATATCTATCCGCAGCCACCGCCTGCCGAGATCCCGGAAGATCGATCCCCCAGGCAGTGGTTAGGCCGAGGTCGGACATGTCCTCCTACAGGCGGAGTTTGGACGAACAAAGCAGTTAACAGAAAATACTCAAACATAGTCCAGAGATACTCGGAAAATCGTCCACAGACAACGTTTTGACAATTTTGGAATATCCCTCCTGTAGAGACGAGGGACAGGCCCGACTTAAGGTCAGGAATAAAAGCCCGCCTCGGGTCGGGCTGTGAGGGCGTTCGAGCTAACCTGTTGCCGCCGTCACAATGCCCAATCTGAAATCTGGCGTGAGCTCCCGCGGCAGCCATCTCACGTAAACCGGAACGTGAAAAATCTTCACGCTCCAGACCAATCCAGAAGCGGCGGCAAACCCGAGCCCTCCGGCAAGTGCCGAGTCTCCTACGCCTCCCCGAGGAAAGCCCCAAGAACTCCTCCGCATAGGCGCCCTGGAAGGGCGCCCTGTGCAGGGCGTACTGCGCGGGGTCCCACTTGAGCGCCGCCGCTGGCACCGCTCTCCGCATGCGTGAGGGGCAACGGTTTAAGGGAAACTGGCCGAGGGAAGGAAAATTCGACCTGGAATCCGCGACACGGTAGGGGCCCGACCACAGGAAGCCTTCCATGAGAAACCCAACCCTGAGACCCCAGGATGTGCATTCATTTTTGGCGTGGGCACGTCGCGCATTCAACGGCAAAACCGTCGAAACCCGAGAAACCCAGGGCACCCTGGAGGCGAGCAGGGTGCTTCTTGGCACGGGACTCCACTGCACCCCCCCGCGCCGGGCATCCCTCAGCTCTCGGGCGGCCGTTTCGCGAAGATCGAGGAATCTCGGGGACGCCCTCGGCGAGGCGCAGCCGCTGGATCGCATCCCGACGCTGGGGCACAGCAGAGAATCGACGACAACGCCAGGCCGATCGAGGATGTGTTCCCCGCTGCTCGTGAGTCTCCCCCAACCCCCCTTGAACGCTGCACCTGAATGTGGGGCTGCGCCCTCTGGTCGGCGGCGAGCAAGATGGGGGAAATGAGAAGGGGCGGGCCCTCTCAGGAGGCTCGGAAGTCCCCCGGCCTTCCCCGACGACGCAGAACATTTCTCAGCAGGCCGCAGGGCTTCTGAGGAGCCCCGCCGCCTTCTGAAAAGGCCTTCTCCTTCCCTCATTCGCCTGGTAGTGGGGGTCAGACTACTGCGGGAGGTCAGAGTCAGCGAAGGGCAAACTGAGAAAAAACTGATTCTTTGAGAAGAATACTGGCTTGGGCCAGCCAGTTCCAAAGGAACTGCCCAGGACAAAGCAATGAAGGCACCGCTTTCTTGATAAAAGTACGGCCCCGAATAAGGAACATCGGCGGAATTGAGCTTACTTGTCCCTGACCCCCAAAAGGCTGACCCCCAGTAGCATTAGGACGGGCATGTCCTCCCACAGGCCGACTGTGAAGGAAAAATGAAGAGATCAAGAAGTACTTAGAAAAAATGTCAAACACATCGACAAATCGTACCCAGACTATTGTTGTACTATGTTTGGAGATTCCTCCGGTGAACGGACATACCCGACTTTAAGAGTAGCGGGCGAAGGGTTCTCACTTCCTCCACTCGCGCGCCGCCGATGCGGAGCGGCGGCGCGGCGGAGCTCGGCGGGGCGCGCGCGCGCCCAAAGCGGCAGGCCACGGCGGGCGCCAAGGGGCGGGGGCCCCAGGGGTGTACACGACCACCACCACGTCGATGCCGCCTTCCTCCTCCACCCCCATGGAGGAAGAGGTGGGGGAGGAGGAGCGAGGAGGAGGTGGAGGAGGAGGAGGAGGAGGAGGAGCGAGGAGGAGGAGGAGCGAGGAGGAGGAGGAGGAGGAGGAGGGAGGAGGAGGAGGAGGAGGGAGGAGGAGGAGGAGGAGGAGGAGGAGGAGGAGGAGGAGGAGAGGGGAGACAGGAGGAGGATGAGGAGCAGGAGGAGCAGGAGGAGCAGGGGGAGCATGAAGTCCGATCCACGTCAAGAAGGAGGCTCCTGGGAGAAGGGAGGGGACGAGAGAGGTGGTGGTGGTGCATACCCCTGGGCCCCGTGCACGAGAGGCGGCGCAGGTGGGGGCGGGCCGAGCGACGAGCCAGCCTCTCGGGGCGGCGGCTGCGGCTGTCGCGGATGGCGGCGCCCTCTCGGGGACCCACCAGCGAAGGCCCGTGCACAAGAAACCTTCCACGAGGAACCCAACTCTGAGACCCCAGGGCGTCCACGGATTCTGGGTGTGGGAAAATTCAGACCTTCCACCGCAGGACCATCGAAACCCCAAAGCCCGGGGCACCCTAGAGGCAGGCAAGTTTTCGTAGAATGGGTCTCCACTGTGCTGACCCAGATCAATCCAGACCCGGGTCAGTCAGGCTTTGCAGGATGCTGCAAGATCCTGCAGGACGTTGCAGGATCCTGCACGCCAACCCGGGTCAGTGCATCCCTGGCCCTGCAGGATCCTGCAAGATCTGGCGCTCTGGCTGACCTCCATTTGCATTGACCCCAATGCTTTTTGGAAGCAGGCTGCTTCTTACAAGGCGCCGGCCTTACATCTACAGACAAGGCCCGCGCCTTCTAAGAAGCAGGGTTGCTTCTAAGAAACCTTCCGCCCTCCCCCTACCCCCCTCTGCGCGTGGCCGACAAGAGCGACCTTGGGTAAGAGTGACATTTGGTGCGCGGCGTGTTGGGGGCTGCGGGGGTGCCAAACACAGCGGCGCAAGACGTTACTGCCGCCTCGCGTTCGGCGATCGGGGGAGCCCAATGAGCCCGCACCAAGGGTGACTCCGGCGAAAGGTCACTCTTACGTCTAGTCGACCTCGTCGCGCCGCCGGACATGTCGATAGGGCGTTAGGAGGCAACTACTGTGAGGTTGTATTGGTTCAGGGAAGGGGCCAGAAAAAGGCAGACGTTGATTTGGTGTTTCCGTCGAGGGTGCCGCGGCGGGTTGCTTAAACCCCCCGCCCCCTCAGGCGAGGAAAGGTGTCGTCAGCCACTCGAGGCGCGACCTCGAACTGGCCGCATGTTCCTCGCACTACCATCCTCGCCCCCACAAGTGCACCGCACTGCCCTGCCCGAGCCCGGGGCTATTGTTCACTTTTGCTTGCAATGCACGCTCCCGGGCTGCGACCGTTTAGACTGCCACAACTTGTCGCGAGCAAATGCCCCGCCTCCCCTCCCGATCACCTGGATATCCGCGCGCCCTCCCCATACCCATGTTTTGACCCCTGTATTAATTCAAAGTTGCCTTGGCTTTTTGGACCAACGTTTGAGCGTCGATTTACCAGCCGCGAGTGTTGCTTTTGCGTTCCTCATTCCACCCCTCCCACTCCTCCCTCCTCTCCCCCCATCCCTCTGAATGCAAAGGCAAGGCCCGAGTTTCGGCCACGTTCGCAGGACACCTCTTTGCCATGCATCCCGATTTGACCACGAGCGGACCAGAAATGGCTGGGAACAGGAGCCGTCGGAAACGTTAGATCCCGCCCGAAGCGAGGGGTTCACGAGAGGCTCACTGGGTCATCCGATTGATGATGCAACTTCCACCCCACTGGAGGGCACGATGGGGCCGCAAGGGCGCCACGACAAAACCTCAAAGTAAGCGAGCGCCACCGAATCGGAAATGAAGACTCCACCCTGCACGGCGGAGACTGCGGGGGCCATGAGGAAACGACGCAAGATCCACAAGGACGCATGCGAATGCAAAATTCGACGCAAGCTGTGGGAACCCGCACCCGGCCGGGTTAACGTCACCGCATTTACCCTGAGACGCGAACGCGGACGAACAGGCTCGGCAGAGACAAATTCGTGACATGTTCGTTGCCGCGCTGGGCGGTGCGCGAGGTATGGCATGGCACGGCATAGAACATATGCGTTCCACTGGGGCGGAGGCGGTTGAAGAGAGACGCAATCAAAAGGAGCTAAAAGATGGGAGCGCTGTCCGGCCACCTGGGCTTCCTCTCCGAGGAAGAGAAACACGCTCCGAAGTAACCGAAAGAGGGGAAACGTTTTCCGGCCACCTGGTCTTCATATTGTGTTCTATGCGGAGTGGTGACCCCTAAATTCAGAAGACGACACCTGTGTAGCACAACACTTTCTGATCCCATTCCCCCTGGCTCACCCCAGGCCCCTGCCCACCGCATGCCTGGCAGCAGTGGCGGGCATCAGACGCTGGAGGGAAGCGAAAAAGGGCAGAGCATCGAGGGAGGCGTGGGAGGAGGAGGAGGAGAAGGAGGAGGGAGGCGAGGAGGGCATGCCAGCGAAGTGCAGGAACGAGTTGGGACGCAAGGAGGAAGGCCAGGAGGGAGTCGAAGGAGCGGGCGCAAAAGCACGAGAGATGCAAGGAAAGAGGCGAGGAGGGAGTGCCACTGAGAAGAGGGAGGGAGGTGATGACGACGACAACGATGCTATTGAAAGCGCAAACGCTTGAGCCAAACCACCATGAGTACAGCGCGGCACGCCGTGCAACAAGATCACGACATCGCGCGAAGATTGCCTGGCTCTTTAACCTTTTGATCCAACGTCGCCCCAGCGACGAATAAGAACGCATACGGCGATACCGGGCGCCTATACATCAGAACGAGAGCCTCGCGCAGACGCCTGCAATCGCACCGCCGCGCCCCAATCAGAAAAAAGGCCCCGGGACAGCAGCTCAATGCCAGACGCTCGGAGAACTCACGCAGTGTGCTGCGCACACTGCCCCCTCAATGTCTCCACTGGCAATGGCGATGCCGCTCCATCAGACCTAGGACGAGAGCTGCTGCTTCCACTGAGACAGCGTGCTGTCAGCGGCAAGCTGCTGCGGCAACGCCGCCTCGGCGAGGGCGAGATTCGACGCCAAGAGTACCTTGGTGCCGTTGGACACGCCGGCGAGGGAACCATCGTCATAGATCGGCGTGAAGCCGACTGTGACCGTTTCCTCATGCAGCCGCGGATCCTTCGGAGGGCCCTTTGACTGCGCCTGCCTCCCCCGGGGCGCGAGCTTCGGCACAGCAGCGCGCAAGTCCACGTCTGTGGGGAGCCCGACGTAGATCATGGACCACCCTGTCGGCACGAAGATGGCCGAGCCTGCCCTGAGAATCATCGCCATGTTCCCCTTGAGGTCGTCCAGGTCGCAACCCGCAAGCCACGCCTGCAAGTCGTTGTTCTTCTCGAACTGCTCGGGGGAGACCAGGAAGCACGCGACCGAACCATGCCATATCTTGATCCACTGGGAGTGCCCCCTGAGGAAGTTGCCGCGCACAGTGAGGTCCAAGAACATGCACCGCGTGCTGACCACGACCTCCCTCGTGAACGTCAAGTCCTCGAACCACTTCTTGGCCCCGTCGTCCGCCCCACCAAGCTGGGATATCGAGCTGCTCGTGTCGACGGTGCCCACGATGGCCGCCTGATCGGGGGCATTCTTGAGCTTCCCCTCCTGGGTCTCCTTCCGCTGGGCGATGGCCTCCTTGTGGGTGTCGAAATAGCTGCGCACCGCAGCGTGCCACGGTGAAGGAGAAGGTGCCGCGCCGTCCTGCCCCCCCACCTCCTTCGCCAACACGGTCTTGGGCCCACTGAAGTAGGAGTCGCGCGTGTCATCCTCGCCTGCCGGGCCGAACTCGGGCGGGGCCCGATACGTGTCCGCGATGCCGACGTGCGCTGGGTCGTGCGCGTCGGCGTAGACGACCTCGCCCATCACCTTCGCAAGGTTCCCGGGGATGTTGTTCCCAGACGACTCCAACCACTTCGAAATCTTCGCCTCGTTCTCGTGCCATGCTTTCCTGGCCTGGGACTTACCGGCCTTGGAGTCTTCGCTGCAGCGCTTGAGACAATCGCGGCAGCCGTCCAGCTCATCCAGAGCAGCGCCCCACGACTCAACGAGCTTCTCGAATGCCTGGCGCTGCTCAGAGAATGTAAGGGAGTGTTTCCACTTCTTCGTGTCCTCAGCGAAAGACTCGAGCGTGCCACGGGCTGCGCTGGCCTGGCGTATGGCCGGCTCCACCTCCAACGAGTCGCACATGTCCTGGCCCTCGAAACGTTTCTTCTCCTCCCGCAGAAACACGTCGCACGGTTTGTTGTCGACCTGGGGCAAGCTGCGGGAACCCCAGGCCGGTGACCCCAGGAGGCCGCTTGGGGGCTCCAGAAGGTCACCGACGCAAGCTGTGGGAACCTTCCGCTGGTGACCTCTGGAGGCCGCAAGGGGCCCCGCACGAGGGGAAAAGTAACGAATTTCCCCCCCTCAAAGCAGGAGCTAACCTACTCATGCTTTGCAAAGCCCCTCACTGTGTCACAATTTTCCTCGAGGGCCCATGGGCAGAACATCACCAGCAACGCACCGAAAACTATACACAGTTTTGACTCCAAGCGCCGGCGAAAAGAGAGCAAAAACTGTACACAGTTTTGACTCCAAGCGCCGGCGAGGGGGCCTTGAAGTCCTCCTCGAGCGCCTTCTGCACGTACATCCGGATCGCCAGCGCCGCGTCGAACACCTCCGCGTGGTTCTCCATCTTCGCAGGGGAAGCGACGATCAGATCGAACAGCTCCTCCGTGGACATCGTCTTCTGCGGCGTGCGCCTCGGCTGCGACGCAACGCTCGATCGCCTGCGACCCGCCGCCCTGGAGCCCGACCCATCATGGTCGCGGGCCCGCCTCCTGGCCGGCCCCGCGCCCTGGTCGTCGCCGCCGGCCTTGCCAGCGGCGGGGCGCCTGCGCCCCCGCGACGACGGCGTGGCCATCGGGCGGTCGTCGTCCTCCTCGTCGGCGAATGGGTCATCAGAGATGTCGTCGCCGCGCCCGTCCTCCTCCTCCTCTGACTCCTCAGCCTCGTCGACGATGTGGGCCTCCTCCTCCCCGGACTCCCCGGACTCGTCGGAGTTCCCCCCGAAGGCCTTGCCATCGGTGCCATCGCCATCATCCGAATCGAAGGCGCGAGGGTTCATCCCCGTCGCCGCTCGCACGGACCTCGCCGGCAAACGAGGCGGGCAACTGGAGCCCCTCCCCGCGCGCTGCAACGGCCCCCTCTTCTCGGAAGCACTGGCTGTGAACCTCTCTCGGCTCGCAGACGCGACGGCCTGCATCCGGATCTTCTCAACCTTGCCGTCCTAGATCTTATCGTACTTGTGGCCCATGCGGTCCTGGCTGCGGTTCCACAGCTTCGTCGCCTCCTTGACGCTGGCACCGCACTCCAACATCTTGTTCTCCCACTGCCGCTGCGAGTACATGTCGTAACCATCCCGGCGGGAGAACTTCGTCCCGCTCGTCATCACGGCAATCTGGCGGTCCAAAGGCGCCCAATCGCCATTCTCGGCTTTCTGGCGAAGCGAAGCGGCCTTGGTGGGGTCGGTCTTCTGCAGATCCTTCAGCGCAGCTTTCGCCTGGGGGGTGATAAACGAAAGGCTGGCTGAAAGCAGCCCGGAGCTCAAGACCCCGCGGGCCAATCACGACGCACGAGCAGGCCACAACAGCCGGGCACAATAACACAACAGTGGTATTAAAGTTATTGTGATACTACGTCCCCCTTGCGACTCACCCTTTTGGGTGCACATGCCCCCCTGAATTGGTGACGCTCTGAGTCCTGTCGAGGCAGCCAGGGGCATACAAGCAAATACTCACATCTGCGACGTCATGGTGCTATTATGATGCATTGCCCAATCACCCCAGCACGAGAAAGACACTCACGGTTGAATTTCTTCCGCTTGAGGCCGCACTCATAGTGCATCGGCTGGTTTTTGTAGGTCTTCTGGCCATCCTGTATGGGCTTCTTGCACCCATGGCATCGCTGTCCACTCCGGCTGGCGTGCTTATCCAGGGCATCCTGGGTGAGCCTGGCGGCCGGCCTCCCCCGCGACCTCCTGGCGCCCTGGGGGGCCCTCCTCGCAGGAGCAGGCGAAGCCCTCCGTTTGCGATGCGACGAGCGGCCACTCCTCTCAGACTTCGGCGGAGCCGTGGATTGCCGGCTGCTCCTCGCAGATCTGACTGATTTCACCATCGCGTGGAAACAAGTTTCAATGCAGAGCCAGCCTGAACGCTCGAGCCCATATGCCTATGAGATGGACAGAAGGCAAGATGCCGCGGCATCTTGCTTTTCATCACTCTTGGAACCATCTTGCATCCCTCTTGGAGCCGTCTTGGGGCCTTATTGGAGCCCTGTTGGGGCCGTCTTGGGGCCCTCTTGGGGCCTCCCGGAGCCCTTTTGGGGGCCTCTCGGGGCCCTCTTGGGGGCTTCTTGGGGGGCCCCAAGCAAGCAAGTGGAGTGACGCCACTTGCTTTTGGGCCCTCTCGGGGCTCTCTTGGGACCCTCTTGGAGCCCCCTTGGGGCGTGGGAGGGGCGCGAAACTGTGTAAATAATATGGTATTCGGATGCCCTCCTCGATCTGGCGGGGCTCCTGGGGCCCTCCTGGGGGCCTCTTGTGGGGCCAAAAGCAAGTGGAGTGACGCCACTTGCTTTTGGGCCCTCTTGGAGCTCTCTTGGGGCCCTCTTAGAGCAATCTTGGAGCCGTCTTGGGGCCCTCTTGGAGCCATCCTGGGGCCCTCTTGGGGCCCCCTGGGGGCCTTCATCTTTGGCTCTCCCAGGCGCTCTTGGAGCCCTCTTGGGGCTCTCCTGGGGCCTCCCGGGGCTTTCTTGGGGGTCTCTCGGGGCCCTCTTGAGAGCTTCTTGGGGGCCCAAAGCAAGTGGAGTGACGCCACGTGCTTTTGAGCCCTTTCGGGGCTCCCTTGGGACACTCTTCGAGCCCTCTTGGGGCGTGCGGGGGGCGCGAAACTGTGTAAATAGTATGGTATTCGGATGCCCTCCTCGCTCTGGCGGGGCTCCTGGGGCCCTCTTGGGGGCTTCTTGGGGGGCCAAAAGCAAGTGGAGTGACGCCCCTTGCTTTTGGGCCCTCTTGGAGCTCTCTTGGGGCCCTCTTGGAGCCATCTTGGATCCCTCTTGCGGCCCTCTTGGGGCCCTCTTCGAGCCCTATGGACTGGCTGGGGGGTAGGCGAGGTGCAAGGATAATCATAATTAGTGGCTGTGCGATGCTGCTAGGGCTAATGCTATCAAGGGAGATATCGGAACGATTTTCGCATGTACCGCAACTTGGCGCGGTGGGTGTTGTCGGAGACAGGGGGCGGCCCGCTGTACGAGCACAAACGAGAGACGCCCAAAAATTTACTATCTCGTATGGCTACCTCCTCCCACTCTTCATCGATGACTTGCATGGCCCTCGCATTGCTGGCCATTCTCGCCCCTTCGCCGTCGCTATCGTCATCCGTGCTCTCCGTGTGGCCCCGGGTCTCCCTCGTACCCCCTTGCCCCGATCAGCGTCCATGCACTCCCCCCTCCTCCGTGTCATTATCCTCCTCTTCCTCCTGATGATACTGGTCCTCTTGCTCCTCCTCATCATCCTCCTTTTCTTACACGTCCTCCTCCTCATCCTCCTCCTCCTCCTCCTCCTCCTCCTCCTCCTCCTCCCCATGGGCGTCCTTTTGTTTCTCCTTCTATCCCTCCTGTTCCTCCTAATCCTCTTCATGTCGTCCTCCTCATCATGTTCGTCATCCTGCCTGCCGTTCGCATTGAGGTGTCTTTGACCGGACGGCCAGGCAGTGGTCCAATAGTGGTCTAATTGTGGTCTAAATTTGGTCTAATTCTGGTCGAATTGTGGTCTAAATTTGGTCTAATTGTGGTTTAAATGTGGTCTAACTTTGGTCTAATTGTGGTCGAAATGTGGTCTAATTGTGGTCTACAATTGGTCTAAAAGTGGTGCGTCCAATCTCCGCCGTATCTTCGTCTGGACAATTCATAAACCCGGTCGGTGGTTTCGTATCTTCGGTCTGACATGGGAACACGTACAATTTGCAATGATATTGTAATCGCGCCATCGAGGTTGTATTCCAGGTCGTGCTTTTCGTATGCCCGGTCGCCCCTTCGGGCACAGAAGCGAAAGACCGGTCGCAGGTGGATCCACGATGGTCTAAGTGTGGTCTAATTGTGGTCTAAATGTGGTCTAATTGTGGTCTAAATGTGGTCTAATTGTGGTCTAAATTTGGTCTAATTGTGGTCTAAATTTGGTCTAAATGTGGTCTAAATGTGGTTTAAAGTTGGTCTAAATGTGGTCTAAATGTGGTCTAAATGTGGTCTGAATGTGGTCTACATGTGGTGCAGAATTGGTGTTACAATAGTGTACACATGGTGTACACGCGGTCTGACATCGCGGAATGTACCGCACGTGCGCGTGCGCATGCGAGGTCATGGACAGGGGGAGGGCGACTCGGATGAGCAACACAACCACACTCTCGACAATGAAACTCTAACGGAAGTGGGGGTAGGCGGAGGGAGAGAGAAGCATGATGGATCATGTGATGACGACGATGATGACGATTTTCTCTGTGTCACACCACGCGCCGCACCACCTCTGCAATCTCTGCGCCACGAAGAGACGCAAAATTGTCGACATCTGCTGCTGGTGGGTTTTTCTGCGGGTGCGTTTTGCCCTCTTCAGGCTCCACGGAGATCCATGCGTGTAGATACGCTAACGGCTCTATATCCCCATGCTTGGCAGTACTGCGCTCGGTGACGTGCCGCTTCTTGAAGCATCTAGGATGCCTCGGGCACTTCAACATCCAGTTCGGAGACCAGCTCGCGGCTGGGTCCGGGCCAACATAATCGTCATATCTCACTTCGACGCCGTCGAGGCCAACGGAAAACGGCCTGATGGCTTCCCGCCTGGCCCTGGCAGGTCCCGCGGCCGCCCCGACGGGCACCAACGCAAGCGCGTCGACGCCATGTGGCCCAGCAGCGGCGGGCACCATGACATCGTCATCCCCGCCAGCGGCGTGCCCGGCGACGCCGCCGTGGCCCGCAGCAGCGGGCTGAGCGCCATCATGGCCTCCAACTGCTGGCGGCGGCGGGGCCGCGGCGCCAGCGCTGCCCGAATTTGCCCCTCCGGTGCCGATAGGAACCGCCTGCGTTTTCCTTCTCTTTGCAACCGGCCCCGCGGACGGCATGAGGGGGGCGAAAACGTCGTCGTCTTCGCCGTTGCAGACGGGCGGATGACTGGGCGGTGGAAGAGGGGCCAAGTCGCGACCAGGCTGCCCGCTGACGCGCTTCCAGCGGGACAGGTACGACTCGTTGCCCTGGCCAGGCTCCACTCGGACACCTGCAAGGAGCAATTTGTAGAACAATATAGGCTGTCGGCTTGGAATGCGAGACGCCAGGGGCAAGCACGCAGGCAACGTGAGGAGGGCCTGGTAATACGATTTCATCTTCACGGCCGCGAAGGAATCATACTCGCCGACCTCGGCGCTGCCGTGCTCCACCCGCCTCTCGACCGCTTTCCAACCTCTCCCTCTCAAAGCCGAGCAGATGGAGATCGTGGGACAGGCTTCGTCCATCAAGGGCAAATGGTTCTCGACCGCGCGCTTGTTGCTCAGGCGCGTGCAGCCGGGGACCGCAGAAGCGCCTGCAACCCACGTAAAGAAACTGGAGTACCATGACCGGTTGGGGGCCATCGCCTCCGGGCGAACCCACTCGGAGTCATGCACGTGGAAGACGTCGAGGCCCCCATCGCCTGCTGGGGCACCATCATGTTCCCACACCTCTTCATGTGCTATGAGCAGAGCAAGTCCCGCCTTCAGGAAAACCTCGTCCATCGTGTCCATGGTGGCCATCTCCTTAGGGCGGCGGTTCTTGTACGCAACTTCGAGAAGGAAGAAATGCTTGTGTTCCGTGCGCTGGACCTCGGCGCCGTCTTCCCCAATCGCCGTGGAGGGGAACGACGCGGAATAATGCGCGCCCGGTTTCAGCACGGCGTCCAAATACTCATTGCGAAGCGCATCCCTGCCGGGCACGGGGTCAGGCTCTGCCTGGTTCACAAAGGGGGATCGCCTGAGAACCAGGCACCAATCGTCCTCAGCGCGCTCGTCCTGCCTGCACACGCGGTCCAGAACACGCGGCCCCTCCATCCTTACGCCGACCCAGCGACGTCTCGTCGAAGTCCTGAGAATACGTTTCCAATTGCGCCACTCGTGGCGGACCACGTCTTCCCCGCGCCGCCCATACTTCCTCGCGAAAGCACGAACGCGTTGCAAGTTCTGACGGAAACGCGTGGCCTGCTTCAAGTGTTGCGAGGTAGAAGAAGGGGCCCTGGTCTTCTCGTGGTGGGTTGAACGATGATAGCCTTCTCCGCACGACTCGTCCAATGGGATATCACAAATAGCCCTGGCTTCATCCAACAAGTTGTCGGACGCGGGTTCCCCCCTGGATCGGCGATCGATGTCTCCGCCCACTCTATTCATGATCGCCTTTGTCGCGTGGTCGTGCTGTTCCGGCGGTCGTGCCCTGAACTGCCTCATGACTTCGAGCGCGCCCTCAACCGAGTCAGCCCGTGCGAAGGCCCAGGGCAATTTCGATAAATATTTAAAGCGGGAGTCGATGCCCGTGGTCAGCTTCAGAAGCATGGCCCCCGTCAAGGCGAACATCTCGTCGCTGTCTTCTGTGTCCTCCCGGTCCAAAGCGCGCCTCGTTCGGAGCAGCGTGTCCTTCTGGTCCCGCAGGAACGGCCAAGCATGTTTCAGTTTGCGGCTGTTCCACATGCACTGTATATGGATTGGGTGGCCTGCCGCTTGGCGCTGTGCTACGTGATCGGGGCACGAACACGTCATCCCCCAGTGCCGGTACCGCTCGCAATGAGAGAAAATATACCGATAAGCACACTGCATGAATTGCCACAGCTTTTTGTCTCGACAAGCTGCCACTACTGTTTGGAGTTGCTGCCTGTCTTGGGCATCTGGGAAAAGAGCCAAATCTACGCAGTGCTCGCAGATGTAACGGCGACCCAAAAGCTCCCGCATCACGACGGGGATCGTCTCGCACCGCCATTTGGCAATGCTGGCGGGGAAGTGGTCGAATAAATCGAGATTGACACCTCTGCTCATACAGATTTTCTTCAAATGTTGCCTCCACGTTTTGTTGCGCCAGAAAAATACCAGGGCACGCATCTGATCCAGGACGAGCGGCCAGTCGGAGTAAGCACCCGCGACATGCTTCATCAGATTACCCCATGAATGGCACCATCCCGATACGCGAATTGCATTGTGGAACAGAAGAGCACCATGGCGCACCAAAGGGGCGCACGCCGTCAAGGCGGCGCCGGCCGTCCAAGAAAGAAACGCCCCCAAGCAATCTGGAATTTCGATAATGTGCACCTCTGTCCCAAAATCCGTGCACAAACCCCGAACTTTGCCAATTGCATACGATATGTCAGCATAGTCAGGGCCACATACAAGAAACAATGCCCATAACAAAGCAATGCCTTTGGCTATTGCTGAAGTTTGCCCGTATGCCAACGTGCTACCAGGGAGAACCGACCGGCGAATGCCGCCATCTTTTCGCACGACGTCCATTATCATGCCTTGCAGCTCCTCCGATGTCACAGGAGAGGAATCGCTGTATAGATGTATAGACCGGATCATATCAAATTTCCGTTCTGCATGAAATTGCCGACGTTGCAATAACATGCCAACTACATCCAAACGTTGGGGCGCTCGATCCCAAGTGGATCGACTTGGATCGTCGGCGGAACTGCGCGGTGTAAGACTGTCAGGGTGATCAAACGCATGACCCGCATCCAACGCGTCTGAGAAATCCCTTGTCGAACGAAGGAACTGCTTAAACTGCAAGCCGCTCAGGATACGAATTGGATCGATGTCACACTGCTTGGCACCACGCGAAACAACGCCACGCTTAGTACCAACGGTCGAAGCAGCACGTGCTGGTAGCTGCACCACCAAGTCGGCATATCCTTCCTCAGTGAACCCCGTAATGGCGGAAGGAACTGGGATCATTGGCTGCGCGGGATGGTCGGCGCGACGCTGCTCGCGAAGCCGCCTCAACAGAGACATCGGCGGGTGTTCAATCAAGTTCGAAGGCAAACGGCGCCCAAGAGAAATAGAATAAGCACGAGCGGGAAACTCTCCACGGCAAAGGTACAGAAGACGATCCATATCCATCAATACGGAAGCATCGACGCGAAAAAACAATTCACGAAGCACCTGCTCAATCAACAATCCATCCCCAAGACATCGATAAGACTTGAACATGTCCTGCAAGCGTCTGGAAGCAAGGGGCCCCTGTAAACCCATAGTGCCGTCAATCTGCCCATGTTCTGATAAACGCCAAACTCGAACCAACACGTACTCTAAAGTACCCCACGGGGCTGCATTGGTTGTCGCGGTTGCAGCTGCCTCAGATGCAAACTTCACTTCCCACTGGCATTCAGCTACACCGATAACGAACCGATGCAAGCATGGCGAACGCGACTCCGGGCAACCAACCAACCAAGCCCCGAAATACCCAGAACGTGCAATATTGCGACGGCGGCTCTGGGCACGCGGCCCCCCGGCCGCACTGTCTGCGGCAGGCACGCCTACATCATCATCGTCCGCAGCAGGCTCATGGCCGACTGCCTCGCGGGGAAGACATCCCACCGCGACATCATCTGTATCGTCTGGCGGATTCATGCCGATATCGGAGCGCGAGCCTGTAGGCCAAAACGGCTACGGAACAATGGAGGAGAAATTAGCGAAGAGTTTGGCCTGGATGTTTGTATATGTTGCCGATGCGTCAAAATTGCGCACTTGAATTCCCGCCAGACCTCTGGCCGCAGATGGCTTAGAGAGTTGGCACTTCCACACACACCCCTCCCCCTCGGGGAACGATTTACCCCTCTGCCTAAAGCCTCCCCTGAGTTTGAACGGGGAGGCGCGAGGTGCGAGAGTGTCCAAGATTGCCCATGGTGATTCCCCGATGGCCACAGATAGCCATGCATGGCCTCCAAGACAGCGCAAGACAGCCCAATACGGCCCAAAGTGGTCCCCAACGAGCCTCCAAGAGGCCCAAAGACGGCCGCCAGTGGACACGAAGCCCCCAGAGGAAAGGATACCCCCGAGAGGCCAACATCTTCGAACAACTAGCTGTGTGTATTTAATTGTTGTTTTTACCCTGTTCGCTTATGGTGGGCGTCCGAGGCCCCGTGGCGGCTCCAATATCTTCGAAGAGATTCCAACAGGGCCTAAAAGAGCTCCAAGACGGTTGCAAAAGGCCCCCAATAGCGCACCATGAGGACTCCCAGATATATTTGTTAGGGCTCCGACGGGGGGGGCTGATAAACGCCGCGCTCTTCGTTGGCCGATGGCCTCCATGATTGTTACACCTGTGTCTCCAGCTCAATGCCCCCAAAAAGATAACCAAGAAAGCTTCAAAAGTCACCAAGCTGTCCACAATAGCGGCCGATCATGATCCAGGAACCCTCCAAGGGGCTCCCATATCGACAGATCCCCGACTGCCTTTTACGATTGATTCCTGGATCTGCTCAGGCTGTCCAGAGTTTCGGTTTGACAACAGCCCCGAGCGTTTTGTTATACGGAATGCTTCAGCACGTTCCTGATCGAGGGAATTCGCCAGGGAATCAATTCGGGAAGGGATATTGGGAGAACGTGGGAGGTCAAGCAAACGCTCACCTCTCCGAGGGCCCCTTAACAGCCGATAGAGGTGAGGACAAATTGCAAGAGACCGCCAACAAGCACAGGGCCACGACGAGACCAGACGGGCTGCGGGCAACCGAACGGATCGCTGGAATTACACCCCGCACAACGGGCCACGAGGGGACACAAGAAAGCCAGAGTGCGTTAACGAATCGAGCATAGTATTAGTTTCACCCTGCTCAAGTAGCTAGCACATCGGGAATCGCAAAGGATGGAAACATGAATGCCACCCCTCGGACAGGAGCTGTCCGTGACCATGTGGGCCCAAGCCACGGGCGACAGACCATTACCTGAAAATCTGCACGCATGATATTCCAAAGGATGCCCCCCACCGGGAAATCTCGTTTCGTTTTCAAATGGTTGTCCAGCTGGTCGGCGGCCCGAGCTCCAAGAACGAACCAGCGCAGGCACCCTCGGCAAAGCACGCGGGGTCAACCATTGAGCGAACAGCCTGTCGGATTTGAACACACCCCGGAAAAGCATCAGCTTTGGGCCTGCTCAAGCATCATGTTTGGCAAATGGAACATGCGACACGATAGAGCCTCCACGGACCACGTCCCACGGGCTCTCCACATGAGCATCGACTTCCCCCCCCCCCCCGGTTTTCGGGCCACGCAGGACACGCGCACCATGCGCCACGGGCAATCGCATCCAAGGTTCAAGTTCCACGTCCTCTTCCCTCCCTCCACCCTCTCTCCTCCTTCCTCCCTCCTCCATTTTCTCTTTTCCTACCTCGCTCGCGGAATTTTGGGAGGGAGTCTGGTCGCACGCAGGAAGCATGGGGGGAGTAATGCACAAGGTCGCGGCGGCAACGGCGCGCGGCGCGCGGGGGCCAGCGCGGCCACGGCAGCAGCTCAGCAAGGGAAACGCAACGACATTAGCAGGCACACAGGACAGGAGGAAGGAGAAACAGGGAGAATGAGGAGGAGGAGGAGGGAGTGACTATAAAATAACCGCTTAAAGGCAACATGGCACACAAGTGCACTTGCTCTGGCGCCCACGCGCGCGAAGAGAACAACCGCGCTGGCACCAAAGGTGCCCTGGGGCACGGCGCCCACGCAACCAGAACGACTTTGCCTTATTCACATGGGCCGCACATGTGCGAATACATAAACCCCGGAGCCTGAAACCTAAGATCGTCAGGTGGCCAAGGCGGCAAACGGGAATACGATTTTGGCAGACGGAGATACCTAAACTGCGTCGGGCCTCAAAGCTGAACCTCTACATGTGAGGTCTTCGTCGGAAAGACTAAAGAGAATTGATCCCATTGGGGGGGCTGCTACGCCAGGATTAAGCCGGATGAAGCGGGATTCAGCCGGATTGAGCGGGATGTAGCCAGATTAAGCCGGACTTCAGACCAAGGCAAGGTCAGCATTTGACCTCCCAGGAATTGCATCCGAAAGGGCTGGCCGGGCGGGTCGCCGAATTCCTCACGCAAGGCACCATCATGAAGCTAAGAACTTCCGACAACTACGCTGACTGAGGGCGGGTACATGTCAACTGGGGTTCTCGCCTGAGGGCCGCGCACATTCGCTGAGACGTCATGTAGACAGGAGAGAGGAAGGCTCGTTGCGGTTGAGACCTTCTCGTGCTCAGCCTCAAGGCTGGAGAGCAATTCCGTTTCAACATTGGGTTTTCGCTTGAGACCCTCTCCAACATCTTGCTCCGAAAAGTAAAGACTCGACATGACGGCGACGGGTCCTGAGGGAAACGGCTTCTGGACCCTGGGCATTCCCACAGGACGTTTTTCACCCTGAACTGTTTTTTAACATTCCTGGGGCCTGTGGAGGGCCCCGAGAGCCCGAAAACGGCGGACTCCCGCACGACCCGTTTCTGTCAGGACCCGCTTCCCCCATGGCAAAAAAAAGATGGGGTGGCCATACGATCAGGGCGTGGCGGCATGTCCAAATGTGCTCTCGCATGCATTCTCGAAGCGAACCGTCCCTCGATTCGACGCTGCTGATGGACCAGATCATTGGATACCGATGTTTTTCGATCACGATCGGTAGCGACCGATCGGCACTCCAGATCCGACCGATCGCGAACGACCCAAAACTCGGTCGCGACCGGTTGCCACCGATCGGTCGCCACCGATTGGTCGCGACCGATTCTGCAGCAAATCGGCGGCGACCGATACAGACATTTGCAGCAAAACCGGTGGCGACCGTCCTCGTCGGTCGCGACTGGAAAGTTCGGGTATCAAATGATCAGGGGAAGGGGGAGGGCGGCCCTCGACTGGCTGCTGCCCCCAGGCGGTCGTCTTCCAACGGAGCGCTTCCCGCGGTGAGAAAAAGTGGAAAAGGAAAGCGCGCGGGATGCGGAGGTTGCCGCGCCGTGTTGGCATAACTCCTGCGTTTATCATGGCTACTGTCCTCTTCCTCCTCCTCTTTCTCTTCATATCCTCCTCCTCTGATGATGATGAAGATGATGAACAAGTCAGTAGGGCCAGAAAACCTAGGGACAGGGGCTCTTGTTCTGCAGGTGTGTAAGACCATAACGCCCAGATATATGATATATGATATCTGATACCCAATCGAGGCCACGTCGTCGTCGTGTCATTTGGGTCAGCGGTTCCTTTGTTCTCGATGACCCTTCTGCGAAAGGGAGAAAATAAACATTACAAGACAGCAAAACACATTAAAAAAACAAACAAACAAAAAACGGCACAAGACGGTCGGAGGTCCGCGCATCTTTCTTGGGCCTGCGCCCGGACCCCACCTGCCCCCCAGCGCGCCCCCCCGGGCGCCGCCACGATTGGGGGGGGAGAGCGCCGCCCCAAGAGAGATCCGCGCGGCCTCCGCAAGCGCCCTGCGCATGCCGACAGGAACAAGGAAAGGCGACACTATCACCACCAGGGGCGAGGAGGTGCGAGGAGCAAGGGGGGTCTCCAGCCTCCAGCTCGGGGAGGCATCCCCAGCCTCCAGCTCGGGGAGGCATCGTGGACCTCCTCGCTGGAGGTGGCCCCCCCTGGTGGTGCTGGTGTCGCATCTACCCCCTCCCATGCAGATTCTTCCGCTCGCTTCGCGTCGTTGGCCTCAGCCTGTGTCAGGATCCTGGCGGCCGCGTGCCCCTGGAGGTGAAGGCTCCCGACGCCCAGACGCCTTCTCGGGCCGGGCAGAGGGGGGATAGCACAGGGGGGGGTTGAGACTCAGCTCACGTAGCTGATTTTCCCAGCGCCTCCCGGCGCCGGGAGGCGCCCACGTATCGAGGAATAGGCCCGGCGGCGGGGCCGAAACCAGCTGCATGCAGCAGAGTTCGTAACCCCCCCTTTTCCCAATCCCCCCCTTTCGCCCGGTCCGACCTTCGTCCGTGGCGATGGCCTCAGGCATAGCAGGAAGGCCTTTAGATGGCGACGTACGAGCCAGTTCCCACCGACCATCGCTTCTCCTGAATCGACGGGAGGCACGTGCTCGACGGATTCCGAACCCTACCCCCACGGCGCTTCGAGTGGCCCAATCGTTCCTCAGCGGTCTTCGGCGGTCTTCACACGGCTTCGGCGGTCTTCGGCGGTATTCTGACGGTCTTCTGAGGGTCCTCGGCGGTTTCGTCGGCTTCAGGCGGTCTTCGGCGGTTTCCCGCGGATTTTTCGGCGCGACAGCTGGACGGCTGCGGTTTCGCCGCCGAACCTTGGCTCCGGCAGGCACGTGCCAGCCACATTCGGGATCCACCAAGGGTGGGGCCGTAAGGCGGAGCATGAGCTCGATCTGCTGGTGCACCGCACTGCCGCAAGGAGATGCCTCTCGCTTGCCCTTCTATCTGCGACTGTCGGGAGCTGCCTGCGGCTGGGGGGGCATCTGTTTGGGGCGGTCCGGAGCAAAAACCGACCGAACTCGCATCCCCCCGGGGCATGCCCCTCCCCCCTTTTGCGGGATCCCGACACATAGCTGTAGGGAAACAGATGTCGCACCACAGCGCCTCGCCGCTTCCTTCCTCGATCTGGGCCCTGGTCTTAGGTCCGCCATGTCCCCCTGCAGGCG